GGGGAGTCAGGGAGGTGTAGGGGATGCACACCCCCAACCCCGCATGCCACTGCGGAGGGAGAGGTGCCCCGGCAGATAGACGGCCATCGTAAAAAGCAGCTTTTAAAATAGAACAGCATTTTAACTGCGTTTTTACACTTGCCACAGGAATTCACAGGTGCTGGAGCTGACAAGCTGCTGTTCGGTGACTGCTCTGCAAAACACCTCGGTGCGTGGCACAAGCAAAGAGTCCTGCCTCCGGCCGAGCCCCGGGTTGAGGCTGGGCACAGCCTGGGAAACAGAGCAGCGAGCCCAGGCCTCGAGCAGGCTCGGTGGGGGCAAAGCACGGGAGGAAATTTCATCATTTCGTTTAAAAAGGTCATGGATAACTCGCGACGTGACCTCTAAAGTGGGCGTATCCCTGGGATTTCTTCCATTTCCTCGTGACTCATACTGCTCAGTTTGGTTTTTTGAGCACCTGAAGTATAGCAGGATCATAGGGGACTTTGGATTGGAAGGGATCTGTTTGCTCGTTCTAATATTGTACAGGGGAAGCTTAAACTCAGGGCTACAACCGGCTATGTGAGTCTGTCTGTGTTCCCTTCATGCTCCGTACGGACATCCTTCCTGCACATGCTTGTGTCCAAGTGTGCACTCTTTGCTGCTGGAAAATAAATAGTGCTGGACCCCTTTGGGGCTGATATCGTCAAACACAGAGCACAGTATCCTTTGTAAGGCTGGAAGCAGAGAAAAAAAAAAAAATCAACTGCAAAAAGAGCATGAGGGAGGCAGTCTGGGTTGTGCCCTGCCCTGCCCTGCTCTGCCCTGCTCTGCTTGCTCAGTGGCCCAGCTCCAGTTTCCCAGACAGGCAACAGCACTGGAGAGGGGGCTGTTAGACTGGGGAGATCCTGGCACGTGGGGCCCCATCTCACTCCGGAGCAGTGCCTACGCTAACCAGCTCTGCAACAGCAAATTTTTTTTCAGAGTATGCATCTCCGTTTACATTTCTCTTCCCCTCTCTTCTCATTTTGCTTATCTGGCAGGTTTATGTCTCTTTGCTTAGTTGTTGCACACTACTGACATGTTCCCCTGTCTTAAATCTTCTGGGATGTTGACAGCAGGGGCCAGGCGATGGCCCTGTCCCACCGTGCCTCATCTCAGCTCTGCGTGCCCCGAAGAGGCAGGTTTGGCCCCTGCAGTTGCTTTCCTACACTTCCCTCTCCTCTGCGCCCCATGCCATAACTGCAAAAATCTTTGCTGTTTCTCAAGTCTCTGAATCCCCTCACTGATGTGACCAGTAGCTTAAAACCCATCATCAAGCAACGCAAAAGCGGAGAAAACTCAGGCCCCGCTGACTGCCTTGCCTCCGCGTGCTTGGGGACCAAATCCCAGAGACACGATTCCCATTTTCCTTCCCTTCAACCCAAATTCATCCTTCCTGTCGATTACTATTGTTAACGATCAGACCTTAAACAAAAATTTAATGGGCATAGTTGCCACCGAAAATAAACACAATCACAGCTTATTAAATCAAAAGCGAAGCCTACTGTGCAACTTCCTAAACTAGGGCATATTCTAGCCCGCTCTCGAATGACATACTGTTGTAGGTTGCGGCTAATAATAAGATTATGATCCTCTTCATTAGCAAGTATTTTGTTACACCAAAAATCTCGTGAATGGATATGTCTATCTTGGCAAAATGTGAGAATCCCAGCCTTTGATCTCAAACCTCTATTTAGCATCGCTGCTTTAAAAAGACAGATTTATTTTAAGGCCCCTGTGCTCGTCTCCGTGGGAAAACGTGCCAGGGAGGGAGCGCTTGCCCGGGAAGAGCTGCTGCTCACTAGGGTTCGACTCGTTTGAGATGCATCCCTGCGACTGAGGTGGGGGAGCAGGTGCCCCCCCATCCTGGTACCCATCTGAGCGCCCGACGGCTCCTTCCCCGGGATGTGAATGGAAGGACGGAGGGAGGCTGCGCCATTTTGGCTAGCAAAAGGGCGGCCGGGGGTGCAGTGTCGAGGAGGAGAGTTAGCAAATACACTATCGGTGCAAGAACGGATAGGTGCAATTAATACATCTGTGCTGCATATTCGCGGAGGTACCTTCACTCCAGGTGCTGTGTGGTGAAGCACAATATCACCCCCAGGAAGGTGAAGGACGGGGTCAGAGGGCTCGTCCCTAGTGGGACCCCCACCCTACTGATGGGGCAGTGGTGGCCCTGGCAGATTTTGGCTTGGGCGGACTCCCGCCATCCCAAGCAATGGTGCCAGCCATGAGCCGATCCCCAGGGATGGGTGCCTGGCTGCCGGTCCTCGGCGGGCTGGGATGTGAGCTGCGTCCTGTTCGCGTGGGGTGTGGGAACTGGTCCTTTGGGAGGGAGCCGCTCTGCCCAAACCCCGGGAGACAAGCTGTGCAGCGTTTTCTCCTCAAGTCAAGGTGCAAATCCCCCGAGTAATCCTCCAAACATATTTTTCTCACGCAGGGAACAATCCCAGATTTTTTTTTTCCCAACTCGGAGCATCGCTGCCTCTTCTGCTTTTGTTCCACAGGCAGAAGAAGAGCAGCATGAAATTTCAAGCAGACGGAAGAGAAAAAAACTGTCCTGTTATACAGCTTGCAGCTTACCACCTCTAGTTAACCCCTATGCTCATGCTTTGCCTTTTGTGTGGGCATATATCTGTTTTCCTTGGAGGGTTGATCTTTTGCTGTTTGATTGATTAGATGACAAGAGAGAAAACGGGATTTTTTAGACAGATGCAAATCCGTACAAACAGCCCAACATTCAGCAGCTCCAGACCTCGCTGCAGAGCGCAAGGACGAGTGCAACAGCCAGTGTTTGCAGGGCTTAGGACAAAAAAACGTGACTTGCCTTTCACCAGCTGAATTCTTCATTTGCAATAAAGATCATGATCATACTAGTGCCTGAGCTCAGTCTCCTCTCTAAATAACATGTGTGTGCTCAGCTGGATTAAGGCAACTTCTGAGCCTGGAAATCATCATAACAGTCTTTTACAGGACAGACTTTCTGGTCGTCTAATACTATTATCCTCTGGGCTGAAAAGCATTCCAGAGTACTTGGAGTGCTACGAAGAATGTGAGGTTGCTTAGCTGATAGTACTGGCTTGTCTCAAGGAAGCACATTTTCTCATTATTTTTCAGTTTAAAGATAAAGTTTAGAAGGAGAAATGGAAATATTAAAAACGAGAAGGATTTGGTGATGCTGTGTGCCTTTCTATAAGTCTCTTGTGGTGCCTTATGCGTTTTATCTTCATTTTCTAAGTGTCCCAAATAGTTATTTGAGCTCCATGATGGCCTGAACAGAAATTCGTGAGGGCTACTGAGACCAGGCACCTTATTCACCGCTCTGCTTTTCCATGGGTTTACACCACCATAACACGGTGATGATTCAGGTCCCACTTACTTGACATCTCTTCAAAATAACCAAAGTCCTTTGGGGAAAAAAGTCCTACAGAAAAAGAAAATCTTGTTTTTGGTATTTAAGCCGTGACAGCCTGAGGATTTTGAGAAACTCTAAGGATCTTTGCTGGCAGTGAGACCAAAGGATGAAAAACCACGTATGTATGTCATCACCACAGCTCTCGTCTCTGCGGTGGCCCTGGACATTGCGATGCCCCTGGGATGGTCCCTTTTCCTCCTCTCCCCTCCTCCCCCGTGCGCGGGGTGCGCCGATGCCGTCCTCCCTTCTTTGACCAGCAACACACAAAATTTCGAACACCAAAACCATTGTTTTTCCTGGTAGGCTGTGAAATTCTCCCTGGAAAGCCCTGCAATGTCCCTTGCTCTGATGCTACTCTCTGGAGAAGACGGGCATCCCCGTTTGCTCTGCTTGGGGTGCATGCCCAGCAGGACAGCACGGTGCAGCTGAGCTGGCCCCGCTTGAAAGGATGGCCTGAAACGTGCTCGGTGCAGGACCTCGCTCATCCCAAATCCTTCCTCTTCTCTCCTGCGGTCGGCTGAGGACATATGGCCCATCGCGGTTTGCTCTTCCTCACCCCAGGACACTAAAGGCCCATTTGTTTTTCCCCAGGGCTGAATCCCATCTATCCATATGTCTTCATCTTTTTCTTCTTAATTTAGCTAGTGGCTGTGCCTTCTGTTTTCCTTGAATTAAAGAAATAAAATAAAATAACTAGCTGTCATTACATGCTTTCATTCCTAACTTTAACGATGTGGTCTCTTTCGTAGCTATTCTGTGTAAATTGCTCATAGGCTACTTTCTTTCTTAACCTCCAACCACGGCTTTGTGCTTTGGAGGTAGTTATTATCTTAAACAACTTGGTAGCATCAATCTGTTTCTTTCCCAGAGGCTTCTTTACACTTGATGAGAAATCTGCTAAGGTTCTTTTTGCTTTGTAGCAAAGGCCGAGCCTGGCTTTTTTTCCCCCCCCTCATCCAAAAGCACCCATGAATCAACTATATTTCTCTTTTTTGATCTATGCACTGTTCTTCTAATAATTTCATGACCCAACTTTAGAGAATATTTCCAATGAGATTGCCCCAGAGGCACCTGCAGCGCCAGAATGTTTTTCACAAATCCAATCTCTTGAAACGTATATTTCACTCGCCCTTCTGACAACACTTTAAACACTTTTTTTTTTACTTTCATTACCTTTGTGAGACATTTGCACGGGCCGATTCCAGCAAGTTTAATCCTTATTCACCTACACTCTGTTCTTTCATTTAGCCTCTTACATCACACTTTTTTTGATCCAATCTATAATACCTCTTCCCCCGGATTCAGATCTCTACTTTAAAAAGAAAAAATTCTTCCAAAAAAACCTTCCTCACATCAGATTTAAGAGACTAAACCTGGGAGAGTGAAAGAACCAATAAACAACCATGTCTTCTGCTAAACTTTAGCGCTGCATTGATTTTTTTCTGTTGCTTCACATCCCCTTTCTTGAGATTGCTGGTCCTCAGAATTGACCATGGAGACTATGACATGTCCATCAAGGTCCAGGGCCTCTCTGTTCCCCACTGAAGGCTGTGAGAGCTGCATTCCCTCTGAGGACCTCTGTGCTTAGGGTGGGACACGGTGAAGAAAATGGGTAAAAGTTCTCACTGGAAAATCCAGCAGACAGTGCCATGGCTCAACTGGAGCCATGGACCACTTGGATAAATATTTCCCTGAGAGATAAAAGACAGGGTAGAGAGAGACCAAGAGCAACCCTCATTTCTGGGCACTCCCTGTCCTCCCTCCATGGCTTTCCTTACGAAATCAAGCTGTAGCAACAACAATGATAGTAATTTTGGCCTGGCTAGGGACAAATCTCCTTTCCCGAAGATGTGATTTGATAAGCCTGGAGCAGTGGGATCCTCATGTGTGTCCGCTGTGGACCACTGAGGGGAGAAAATTCTTGAGAAATAGCATGAAAAAGCTGGGGACCTTTCACCTTGGACAGCCTGGAAGAGCAAGGGATGGAGGGAGGAATGGCAGCCCATGAACCTGGAGGCCAGGTGAGGTGGGAGAATGGATGACGAGCTCTTGGGAAGACCTGGCTGCCGTGGGGCTCACAGCCGTGGCTGCCCCCAGGACCCCCAGCACAGCCCTGTTTCTCAGGGCTTGCCCCATGGCGCCACAAGCAGCCATTTCCATGGCGTTCTCTAATCCCAAAAAGGGGAACTGTCAAATAATTTAAGCTCCACATGTTATAGCCCGTCTGCTCTGGGCCATGCACGGCATGGGGGAGAGCTGAAGAGCCGGAAAACACCACCGCAGGAAACCGCACTAATTGGAGAGGGGGTGGCAGTGGCCTCTCTCCACCAGTTCGTCCTCCATGGGGTCCTGCGAGTGCAGGGGCGAAGCCCAGCCCCACCACCAGGCTGGGGGGACGTTGGGGAGGGCTTAGGATGGGCTTGGCCTTTCCCTGCTCCTCGCCGGCAAGGCTTTCTCCTTGCTGACAGACCTTCTGGTTGCTGCCTCAAGCTGCTTGCCTGTCCTCGCACAGCCTGGCAGAGGCAGTAAGGACTTGTCTCCAGGCAGTTTTTGGGCTGTTTTGGGGGAAGAAGAAGAGTTAGCTTTCAGAGAGCTAGATAAATGTTCTGCAGTATTATGCTAGGTGGAGAGAACCACCTCGCAGCTGCTCTGCCTTCCTCTCTTTGAAGGTCTCCACCATACATGGCCTCAGTGGCCCAGAGGAGATGCTCAAGGTAGCCAATTTCCTTGCCTCTGCCCACAGAAAGCCAAACTTGTCCCCGGTCATGACCACACATGACTCCCCCCTCCTGCAAGGAGGTGGCTGCAGCTGCCCCAGAGCATCTCGTTGCCATAAGGGAAGCCCGCCCTTCCCGGCCGAGACCAGCAAGTGGCTCTGTGGGAGCGACATCTTCTGTGCAAGCTTGGCCTGATGAAAAGAGCTTTGTTCCCCCACTGCCTGTGCTTGTTGGTGCTGAAGAAACCTGGCCTCCAGCTGTGGCAATACTGGTTTTAAAGATGGAGATGACTGGCATAGCCTTTGCTCCGTGGTCGAGATGCAGCTGGGTGGTCCCTTGTGCAATGAATTAGTTAATGTGTGAAAAGGTCAGAGGAAGGCATAAAGGACTGAGCATTTCTCCAGCCTTCTGAGGATAATGCATTTTAAAGATCAACTTGGGTTTGCCTGCAATGTGATTTGTTTAATTATTTAAAGCTTGTTAGCATATTTTCCTCAAGGGATGGAAAATCCTCAGCGAAAGGATCCTTACACCAGAAGAGAGATCTCTGTTGTATGCTGAAGGTCTGGGCTCACACGCAGCCAGCCGCACCGATCCCAGCACGTTGTATGGGGGAAACACTGTGCAAATACCCACCTTCCCAACTCCAGAAGACGCCTCATGCCAGCCTCTTCTCCACACCTACAAGTCACCAGTCACTAAAGGGCACTTTGTAGGGCAGCTGGGGTTATAAGTGATAGCTACCTGGTACGGAGAAGGCTTTATAAGACAGTTCTCAACCTCAGCCCTTTCCAAGCCTGGGCTTGGTTGGGTATGTCTGCATGGTGCGAGGTGGGATAATGTTAAGATATCCAGAGAAGTATATCTGGGACTCTTGTTGATGCCCAAGGAAGAGCTTTCTGGTTCAGGAGTCTCATCTCCACATGGCTGCAGAGTGGAGGACTGTATGAGGAGGTGCAGAGAAGGTGTGGGAGTGAATGGCCTTGCTGCAGGACTGGATTGACTGGATCCCAGGTGCTCTTGCTCTGCCTGAAAACAATTTCTTGCTCCATTTTACTAAGCCTACCGTGACGAACGCCACGTGCAAGGCTGACCCCACACCACTCAAATCCCAAGGGATGGTGCCTCTCCCTTCTTCACTGCCCCCCCCGAAGTGCCAGCTTGCCAGCTGTGGCTCCTCTATGCCACCTGAGTCTGACCTGCGACCTTCCATTTAAAAGGGAAAAAGCTCTCAATTGTTTTCAACTTTGAGAGAAACCACCGTGTTTCATGTGAGTAGACACGTGTGTGTGTCGGGCAGGGTCAGATGGCTGAGGCAGGACTTCTCTTCAGCATCCCCATCGTACCTAGAAGGTATCACACAGCAAACAAACTGTACCAGACACGAGCTCTTCCTTTCATCTCCTTCTGTTGCATTGAGCAGTGAGTGCTAACAGAGGTGCCAGCAGCTGCAGCCATACTGGCTGTGGGACTGGTTGGAAATGTTTTGGACTTGGTGTGAGGGAGCACTAGGGCTTTCTTGTCCTTGGCACGGCTCATGCTGGTTTCTCCATGAGGAGCCTTCCTGGAGAAGGGGTGGGCTGTGGGCTGTCTCGCAGCTCAGAGATTTAGAGAGTAATGGGGACCCCTCTCCCCCCCGGGCTGGGGGACCGCATCCCCACCTGGATGGGCGCATGCCACCCAGGTTTTCCCAGCACTGCTCAGTGCTGCAGGTGCTGATGTACCTGGGTACCGGAGCTGGCACCACATTGCCTTGTCTGTGCTGGTGTCTGCAGCACCTTTTTTTTTCACTGCAGCACAAATCGCAGGGACACTACTTAGATTTGCTCTGACATTGTAATGGGGGACCCCAGAGACTGTTGCTGCTTGCACTGGCAAGGCCTGACATCCTCGTGGCATTTGAGCTGGGTCACCGCAGATTCAAATTGTTGTTGATTTTTATTTTGTGTTTACCCATGAAACCCGGACTCAAGGCTCAACTGGGGCACGGTGGCTGGTTTCCACGAGGTCCACCCTTCAACCAGTTTTACAGCTGAGCTGGCTGAGGTGCAAAGAGGTCAAGAGCCCCGAGTGAAACATGCTGAACGGGTGGCTCATTAAGGGCTGAACTCCAGACCCATGTTCCCAGCCCTCTGCTCTAATCACCAGGCGAGACGTGGGAGAGCCTCATGGGGCTGATGCTGATGAAAGAAGAGTCAACAGCTTTATTTTGCAGCTTTATTAGCAAAACGAAGTAAAGCCAACATGCCCGACTATTACTGAACCAGTAATCTCTGCGTGCTTACACCCAGAGCTTCCCAGCCGTTTAACTAGGAGGCTGAACAATAAAATATGTTAGGTCCAAAATGGCTAAAGCAGAGGCAAAGCAGGAGATAAGCCGTCTAATTGGAGAAGTTGCAGCGGGAATCTTACCCCAGGGGTCTGTCCCTTGGGATTAACGGTTTGCTGACATCTGGGTTGCATGGCACTGCTGCCTTGCCCCGGGTCCCACCAGGGCTGATGGCAGGGAGCCAGGGAACCAAAAAAAAAAAAGTCTTCAAACTCGTACAACAGGGAAGATGAAGATTTTTCTGCTGTCACCGTGGAGGCCTTTGGGAGAAAGAAACTGTCAGCTTCTACCCAGAGACATACGGTTGTGACTTCTCTTGGCTTGCAGAATCACAGAAGGAAAAAGCGGGGACAGGGAAATACAGTCTCTTCTACTGCTGCCGGGGTTGTCCCAACAAAGAGATCCCCCACTGTCTTGTCCCATCCAATTTTAAAGGCTTACGTCAACTACTCGCCTGCTGCACATCACACCCTCTCCTGTTTTGGCAAAG